ATGGATGAGTAACAGTATCAACTACAAAGAGACACAGAAAGGGTCTCGTCGACTCGTCACGTGTACGTCGAAAACATATTCTGCATGCAGATAGCAGTGCATCCTGGCATTTGTTGTGCACACATACCTCTCCATTGCGTACATCGGAAGAGACCGCAGAAATAACAACGACAAGCGATGCATGAAGGTACTGTGCACGTGTAGAAGCCTGCTCTCCTGACAACTTAACTAACCCCACTACACCCTGCACACTTAAATCGGCCATACCATCCTAAACCTTTCAAGTGCAAGCCCTTTTGCTGCATCCTGTAAACTCTGCACCAGCGTTCGGGTTTTAGGATAGACTCACCAGTCTAACCCCCTCAACCTTGCTTGGCCAGCGCGCCGTGAGTACGGAGGGCGTGTCTTTGAGCACGTCACCAAGCACAGTCGGCGCACCTTCCTGTGAAGCTTCGGGAAGCCTACCTCCTACCTCCTAGGCCATGCCGCCTGAAAGGGTATAGAACCCGAAAGGGCTCTTCAAGGCATCCTTTAGTTTAAGCTCCTTTAACGTATGTATATGTGTATATATATATATGTATAAAAATACATTTAAAAATATATATATATATATATTCATCTATTTATATTTATATTTATTTACATACTTTTGGAGGCCGGGGTAGGATCTCCTTGGGTCTCAGGGTTTCGCGACTCAGACTCGAGGGGTTCAGAGGCTTTCAGGGTTTTGGGGGTTTGAAGGGCTTAGGCTAGGTTTGGGGTGTAGGGTTTAAGTATTTTTTTGTTGGGGGGGGCGGGGGGGGTTAGGGTTTAGGCTAGGAATAGGGTTATAGGGTTTAGGGTCTTTTCGCCTCCCAGCTAGCTACGGCAAGCCTGCATTGCAGGGTTAAGCCAGAGAGCACAAATGAAAGAATTGGAGGAGGTCGTCCACACAAACCCACCGCATCCGTGCTTTAGCAGACTGTAGCCTTTCAGTTTCAAAGGCGGTCCCTGCTGCTGATCATTTCCGAGTTCGTACGAGTTGTGGAATCTCAGCAGGGACACCTAAACTAGAATCTTGTGGTTTCCAATCCAGGATCCAAGAATCCGTTCGATTCGCACAAATCCTCAGCACCTGAATATTTTGCCATGTGTTCCAACGTAGAATCCCTTCAGAACTTCTGGGTTGGGACACGGAAGTTCTGCCGGGATTCTGAGTTGCGACACAAATCAACATACTCATGCGCCGAGGATTTGAGGGTTTAGGAGTTTAGGGCTGAGGGTTTTAGAAGTTTAAAACTTTAGGGGTGTGATTTCTGATTCTGTCCTGGCATTCATGAAGACCTAGCACACCCACCCGAGCCTCCACAACGGTGATGTCGTAACACCCAGACTCGCGAACAGCGCTAAACATAGGGAGGTGCAAAGACTCTGGCAGGAACTCCCCCAAGCCGTTAGAGGTGAGACTTACTTTAATTTTGGGTTTGTCCAAGGCAGCTTCATCCCACGTGATTCGGGTTCGGGTTCAAGGTTTGGGCCCTGCCCCTACACCCTTGACCGTAACTTTCGAGGTTGGGGTTACCTTCCACTTGATAGCCCCATTGCAGAGATGATAGTACCAGTCATCACAACGGCGGCAAACCCGCATGGCGAACTTCGAATTTCAAGCTGGGTTCTATGGCACGGAATGGATTGTGCATTCGACTGTTGCGCACAAACTCCATAATTACCGTCAAAACTAAAGCCTCATCCCTAATCCCTAAGCTTCCACTTCGCAAAAGCCTTAAAATCCACCCGTCGAAACTAAAGGCTCATCCCTAACCCTAGCTTCAACTTCAAAAAAATCTTGAATCAACCCCCCAAAACTATCCTCAACCCGGAACCCGAAGCCCCCCCAAAAGCTCACTCTCAATTCCCCAACCCTCCGATCCTCAGCGTCGATGAGGTCAAGCCTCTCAAGGACGATGAAGTGCACCAATGAAGTCAGGCACCTGGCCGGTTTAGGGTTTAGGGTATAGGGTTTAGGACCCTACAACCAAACCCCCGTAGCCCTGAGCCCCTGAACCAAACCCCTGAATCCTAAACCCCACAAATCTTCGTTTTCGAGATTCGGAACGAGCCCTGGGATCGAGGAAGGTACGTTCGGGGCTGTTGATACTGCTTTTGGCCCTAACTATAAGGGCCCTTTAACGCTTCTTTAAGGGTTCCTTGAGAAAGGGTACCACAAGTGTTGAGGGTTTAGGGTTTAAGAGTCCATGTACTCAAACAGTTTATACTTTGGCCTGAAAACCGTCCTACATAGGGTACGTTGGGGCCAATGGAAATGCTACATGACTACATGGACCCTTACATGTATACACGGTTTCACAATTTCTACAGTCATTATAGTTCTTGTCTCGGGGGCTTGGCAACCGTTACACTGGGCTCTTCATCAAGCTTTGGTACGCTCCGAATTACACGTCTCAGGCCTTGACTACAGGAATCGATGCACCTTCACCTCGGGAGTCCCAAATAAGTAAGAAGCTGCCACACTTCAATGCAAATCTGCTCTGACAACATGCACGTCCTGAGTCCTGCAACTATATAGACAACCCAGCAAAAGCCAAAGGACCATCATCAATGCCCGGAACAGCCAACAGCGACTGTAACAGTGCCAATGGGTCAGAATTAGATCCAAGCTCCATACTCTGGTGAGAATATGCCCGTACAGACACCAGCACAAGTAGAGCAACACACCATTACTGTATCCGGCCCAACGAAAATGTGACGCTCCGCATAGTATAGCTTACGCACAATCAGAGAGGCTCCTTTAGGGTATATTTGACGCCTGGCCTATCTTCCTTTAGATAAATTGAACTTGAAATAGTTGAAACATTGACATACTTGAAAGCCGGAAGGATAATTTCAATTAGTCCAAGTCTTGGGGCCACCAAATTTTTGAAATACTTGAAACAACTGAAATCCGGGCACCATATTTGCGCAATTGAACAAATGGAAACAATTGAAATGGCCCTCGGTTTCAAGCATTTCAAATCTTGGGGCCCCCACATATTTGAGAATACTATGTGTAACCAGATGACCATTATCAACCTGTTAGATTACATATTGTACCCGCCCGCTTGCTTGCAATTCGATCGATGCTTGTTGCTAACCATCCATTTCCGGCTACATGATAGGCAACGAAATGGATATCATGTAAGATATTCCACACCTCAAGTATCGATGCCGTTCACCAGACCAAGCAAATCAAAGACATGGAAATTCCATATTAAACAATATAAATATATCACTGTCGGTCCAAAACTTCTGGCTTTGGGCTTATGCACTGTACCACTTAGCCATATACTATTTAACTAGGCATTTAGTTCTATGAATGTAAAACCGTGGTTAAATCTAGCCTAAAGGCCTAAAGGTATCGGGCTCACATATATATATATATATATCTGTGTGTGTGTATGTAGAGAGAGAGAGAGAGAGATGGATACATACACACGTACATGCATATATGCATGCATACGTACACACATACAGACCTCTTTTTATGCGTACGTATGTGTACACATACATATATATATATGTATATATATATGTCTTCACATGTACAGGTACATTTGTAGCGGTCGGGGGCCCACGAGATTTGCAGGTGCTTGAAGACCCCGTTTCAGGCGTATGCCAGGAACCGAGGCGCCGGATGCGCTGTGGACTCGTCAGCCGGGTCTTTAAGCCGAACTCCTAAACCAGAAAAAGCCCTAAACATTCCCAAACCGCGACCCTGAACCCAAAGGGTCCAAGTACCCAAATAGTAGGGTTTCAAGGTCCAGAAACCATTCAGAGCGCGGGTTTTGGGACTTAAAACCTGACTATTTGGGTACTCGGACCCTCTGGGGAAGCCCTGAACCCTAAACCTAAACCCTAAATCCTAAACCCCAAACCGTGACCCTGAAGCCGAAGCTGTGCTGCGTGGCACCGGAGCTCCCCATCGTACTGGATCGGACCAGGATCCTGCAAAGCCAAGCTTTTGGGGGCTCCTCTACAGGGTAGGCTAGGGTTCCGAGGGTCCTTTAAGGGCTATAGGGTCATAAAGGGTTATAGGTTATAGGGTTATACTTGGAGGTTCATGGGGTAGTTATAAGTGGGGTTATAAGTAGGGTAACTACCCATATTAGGGGACTCATAACCCCACTTATAACTACCCATGAGCCTCCAAGTAAAGGGTACGCTAGGGATCCGAGGGCTCCTTTTAAGGGCTTTAGGCTTGAGGGCTTTTTTGGGGGGTTCCAAGTTTAGGGTTCAGGGTGTAGGATTTAAAGGTTCAAGGGTTTGGGGTGAAATCCCTAGGATCTTGCCAAGCCTACAGCGAGCTCGACCTCTATGGGGTTTATAGTGCCTCGAAACAGTTAAAGGTTGCCCACTCTGCCACTGAGGCTTTTCATAGGCTCATTTCGGGCTTTCGGAAGTGTGGAGTTAATCAACGTGAAGTGTGAGAATGACATGCTAAGGACGAAGCAAAAGCTTCGCCCATCCGGGTTTAGGGTTCAAAGGCGGCTCTCTTGCCCTCTCTCTCTCTCTCTCTCTCGCTCTCTCTCTCTCTCTCTCTCTCTGTGAGTTTTCTGACAGTAGACCCCTGACGAATGACCTCCGCGTCCTTTTTTCGTAGCAGAGTGCTGGAACTCCTCTTGCTGAGGCACAGGACCGTGACGGTTCTGGTCACGGCTAGAAAAAACACTCTCAACGGGGCACAGCATGAAAGGTACCGCACGAGACCGTTACCAGCATTACATCCCCGCTTGACGAGGGATGTTGGACTGGACGAGGTGAAACATGTAGCGAATTTCGGATCAAGGTTTGCAGACTAATTTTACTGTGTATGCCGGCTGCAAATGCGGCCCATGCGACAAGGACTCAAGCTTAAGCAGGCAAAGGAAGATATCGGGTCTATACATTGGACTTGAACGGGTTCAAGGCTTTCGTGGCTGTAGATCTAGGGGGTACCGGGACATGGTTATTCAGACTCATATGTATTAGACTCGAAAGCATTTCATCCAAGTCACTGCAGCAAAGACTAGACCCACGATGTTCCACAGTATTACCGCGGGTATGCCGTTGGCAACGGCGGCAACTGTGGCCCCGATCCCAACTGCTAGAAGAATGACGCACAGAACGAAGATCAGGAGTGGCTCCAAGAGGGAAGGCCTCAATCTGAATCTGCCCACTCGGACTCCGTGCTGGGTGAGGTGAGCTCCCAATACGACGACAGATGGAATCCACATCAGGTTGAAGCACACCACCGCGGCAAGGAAGAGGCTTATCGATACTTCACCCGGGACCCCGGACATTAAGACTGCTAACGACCCCTCCAGAAAGAAACTGCTGGTCGGCAGCAGCAAGACAATGAAGTAGTGGCCTTCAATGCCGCGTTGGCTACGTCTAAGCTGAAGTACTTCAAGGCAAAAGGGTCCGCGTATGTAGTCGTTGAAAGCACTCAGGCTGCCGTACCATCTGGTGATGGCATCATGGATGCATTGTCTATCAAACTCGCTGCTGCACTTTACGGTCATCACGTCGAAGTTTGTCAGCTGGCTCCTCAACTCTTCGTCGGCATCTTGCTTCTGCACTGCTGCATACGACATTGAAGCAAGGGTCGGCAAGCCCGCGCAGACGATCACCACCAGCAACCGCCAGGGTTCGCCACCGTATGGACCCGAGCGCGCAACCCAGAATCCCACAACGACCAACTGCACCCAAGCGAACGAGAGAAGAACAGCAACCTCCGTCATGATCCGTGATATCACTATCCTCCCATTCGGGTTGAGCTTGCGATATGCGGCTAGTTCGAAGACACACCACAACCTCTGCAGGTAAGGCGCGCTCCAAAGCACGCGCAGTTCCGAAGCAGACGCCAGGAATGCTCCGATAGACCTGATCCCCTGCTGCATTTTCCTGTCGTCCGTCTGGTGAACGCATACGAAATCTAAGAAACAAATCTCAGATGCCAGGGGGAAGTAGGGGAAGACCACGAGCCCTCCCATGGCGCCAGTCAGGGACAGCAGCATCAACCAGCAACCTCCGTGGAAGGCTTGGGGAGCAACGAAAAGGCTACTTACCAGAATGTCCGTGAAGCCTAGCACAAACAAGAAGAACGGGTAAATCTCTGATGCCCAGCAACCATATGGGACGGAAGTGCCATGTATGCCAGGCCATATAGCCGGCAACGGCAGTTGAAAGACAGTGAAGAGCGGCAACACCTCGAGTAGTACAAGAACGGCAGCAATCACTGCCCCGACGGCCCAAAATATCATCATGCTAGGCCAGCCGAAATGGAGAAGAAGAGATAGCTGCTTCCATCTGCCGTGGGTTTCCCACGTGTGCGATATAAACTTGTCATACCTCTTCGTTGGCTTGGAAGCATCCCAAAGCCGGGCCTTCTGAAAGGCACGCATGGACCGTGGATCAGAAAGCCAAAGATGAGCTCCCCACTGCAGCGTCTGGCGCAGCGGAATCCCGCGCATCAGCGTTGCATCCAAAGCATCGAAGCTTGTGAGATCGGGTGAAGAAGCTGGGGGCATTGTAGGAATTTCAGGCTTCTCGCCATCCGTCTCACTGGGACCGGTTACTTCGCCCTGGAGTGAAGGGTGAACCAAAGCTTCATCACCTTCCGGAAGGTTTGTAAAAGTGGAATGCGTGCATTGAGCACCATCCTCATGCCGGGCAGGGAAGGAAGGATGCAGCGTGACGTCATCCCCGAGTTCTTCCCGCTGCTCGCAGCAGTTTTGGAACACCAGTTCCAGTGGCATTCTCTGGCAGAGCAGCTGCTTATTGGCTCAGGCAGATGAAGGTGACAAGCGCCCTTAAACCCCGAACCCCACGATACCCGTGCGACTTCTTCGGCCGAGTTTGATGAGATTCTGTAGGTGCTTGTGTTTGTTTTAAGCGTGCTTGTGCAAGGATTTGTATTTACAAGTTGACCCCGAAAGCTAAGAGTAAAGTTATTCTACTTTCCATAAAGAAACCATGACTGTGACAGGTATCCACATCGATGTTCATGAACAAGGCGGCTGAAGCCAAAGCAACTAGCGGTAATGGCTTGACTTCTTAATCGAGAAAGGAGTGCATTGCTAGGTTGCTGCTCTACTATATAATAATAAAAGGGTTTTGGGGTATATTATACTCGAAACATAACAAGGAACGCCCAAAATAGTACAGGTAATTATTTAGGCCCCTACAGTAGTTGAAAAGGAGCATGAATCAAGCTCCAGGCTACTTTGCATATAGCCGAAATCAGAGACGGTTGAGGTTCGAAGCCTTAAGCCGAAGAGAACAAGATAAGGCATGTAATCCTATAGCCTATAGCACATATTACAAAATCGAAATATGCACACCGCAACCCTAAAGCCTGAAGCCCTCTGTGCCTTTAAACCTTGGATCAGCGGGCCATCGTTCTCGTACTCGTACGCGTGCCACTGCAGGCAGAATCGGAAGTCGACCTTGTCCACCTGGCTTGGGCTTAGGGCTTCGGACTTCGAAGAGCTTGAGGCTGTAGTAGGAGGTAGGATTCGGGGGACCCTGGGGGGATATAGACCCTCTCAATAAGGTCGCTTTTAAGAGAGCCATAAGTAAGGTTAAGAAGGGTCCCCTTGAAGGGGTCTCCCTACTACCACCTAGGACCTAGGATGTTCGGCGGCCAAAGTCTGGACGGCTGGCCTGGGGAGTTTGAGGCTGTTTGGGGTGCAAAGCCCGCGGGTGAAAAGTTCACATGAAAGTCTCGCGGCTCGTGAAGTCTTTGTGACTGTGTAGGGCGGCGCTGTGCCACAACCCGGTGTGGGCCAGTATCCCCCCCTAAGAATAAGGATACCCTTGTTCCGCACATTCAGTTTTGCAGCCTTAGGCAAGAGACCCCCAAATACGCTGGCACGAGTGTGTTACCGGAGGACCTGTTAAAAATGAGGCACTTCATCCTTCCCTGCACACGGTTCTGCACAACTCCTTGGGTTCTGTCGAGATGGGGAACGCTTGAATCAACAAGGACATCTGAACATGGGGGCTGGTCTAAGCCCCGAAGCCTGAACAGGTTGAGGGTTTGGAATGAGTTCAGGGCGGAGGGTCCTGAGGCGACCGGCTGCTGACATGCTAGGAACCATGGTGGCAACATGTGTGGGTCCCTACAGACGGATGCCACCTAGCCAACGACTTATCCATAAACGAACGATGCTCTGAAACATGCTATGCGAAAGTGAAAGTTCGAGATTGCCGCACAGCTTGCACAAACCACAGCTGCCAACCAAGCGCCCCGGAGTCTCAGCGCAAAAAACCCCAAGACCCTCAAACCCGTGAAACCCAAACCAGCCTTAGCACTAGAAACTGCCACAAGCCCGGAGCCCCGAGACCCCACTATCAGCTCTCAGCCTATAAACCCTAAATCAGGGGAAACCCAGGGCCCAAGAAACATGGGGATTTCCGAAAATAGGGAACCCTGATGTAGGACCTTAAATAGTAGGATCTTTATTATAAGGACACCAAAATAAGGTACCCCTAATTTTCGGAAAAGTGCAACATGACGTTGCTGCCTTCTGCCTTTGCATTTCGGCGTGCACCGCCGACTTGGTTATCTTCCATCGCAGCCTCATCCAAAAACGGAAAGGAGTTCGGATCCGGGCCTGTTCAGGGTCCCCGGGTCCGAATCAAATTCTTAGACTAAGAGGACGCTTGGGTTGAGGAATATAACTGAACATAAGCTAGAAGCCTTAATGATTTCAACTGGTCAACAGGGTTTGGGGGGGGGGGGGGGG